TCAACAAGAGTTTTTGAAGTACAACCATTATGATCTTTATTGTCCATCTTTGCAGACCAGCTTACTTGATCGAATTTGCAAAGTATGTCACGTATACTTTGCCTTACAAACAATGTTGAAGAAACATTCAGGACAACACAGAGAGATCGGGCTCGGGACAATGTGCCAACCCAAACTGGCCCAGAATAAACTCAGATAAAACGCATCCGTCCTTTGAGAATCGCTGCAAGAAGGCAAAGAGAACTCATGGCAGTTATTGCCAGAAGAGAAAATGCACATTCAGAGAATGTTGAGTGGCTAGATGAGGATGAAGTCTGCAATTATCCTTCCAGGAAACTATGATGGTGAAAGATTGATGCCAGTTGTAACTATGGATGAACACTTCACTTCACCATGGATGGATGATGTCCCGTGAATATTTTGAATTAAACATAATTCACAGGCCCATAGTAAACAGATTCAATATAGCACAAGAGTTTGTCCCATGATTTGTCAATCTTGTCTTTTTTTAGTCAAATTGTTTTGTTTCCTTTTTATTATTTAATCACTGGGTGACGTCAAGTTTCGCTAATCTACTTCTTATCCTGTGTAAAAAGATTGCATAATCGAAAGATTATCTAAAACTCGACCTCACCTATTGTAAATGAAAAAGCAGCAGATAAATGATGTGTATTTTATAATTGTCTAGTCTAATTTTTGCAATTTTTGTTTTCAAATTCAATCTAGATTGAGTTACTGCTTCAATGAATAACTGTGACAACTGTTGACAATTAAATATTCTACTATTAAAGTCATTATAATAATGTGATAGTTCTTTTAAGTGGAAATTTTATATTTTAATTCGGTTAATAGTGAAGTGTGTTTTAGATTAAATTTTAATTAGGTGTTAATAAAAAATTGTTTGGCTCTAAAGTGTGACGTACTTTAGAGGGGGAGGAGGGGCGTTCCCAGATTTGTGACAGTTTGTAAGAGGGGGGAGGGGGGGGGGTAGAATGGTCAAAAATAGCGTGACATACTTTATGGACAGCCCCTTATAGTACTAATTGGTTGTAAAGATTCGAAGCAGTAGAGGGGTGGGGGAAGGGGGATGCTGGAGTGCTCAGTTAAAATGAATAATTTGAGTAATAAATAAAAATTAATAAGAAGTTGTGAGTTTCAAATTTTGTTGCTTTGTATATTTTGAACTATTTGTTTGGATATAAGACAAGTGTTCAAAGTTAAAGTAACAATGCAACAGCAACACAATCATATATTGATCAATATACACAATATTATTTCATGCTGAAAAACTGTACACTTAAATAAAATGCACAACTGCGACATGGTGAGAAAGAGATCCCCCCAGTAGGTTCAAGACATCATCCATCTTCTGATGAAATACCCCAAAAAGGGTAGGCAACTCCATTGCTGAATAAGGGGAAGCAACCCCCCCCCCCCCCCCCAGCGACGACAACTTTAAAAAAAAAAAAAAAAAAAAGGCAACTCCATTGCTGAATAAGGGGAAGCAACCCTCCCCCCCCTCCCAAGTGACGACATCTTTAAAAAAAAAAAATACAAATCACATTTTTAGTTTTTTTTTAAATAAGTTTTATTATTTTCCATTTTACACATTTTTTAAAAAATATTCAATGGTATAAAACAGTAGCCCCATTATTTCCCTTGCATAATGATGAGACTAGCTTACTTACCCTGTATTTATTTGTCTCAAATTAATCATTAATGAGCATAAAACACCTGCTTTGAGAACCATGGCTGTCTTAGTCAGTGGCTGCTTGAAGAAGGAGGCTGTCAAACAAAGAACACATTTCACCTTTACTAAACACTAACTTAACTAACAATTCAAATACGTCAAATAAAATAAGTCTAGATGTGATGAGAAAGTGAACACAACACAAAGAAAATGAAGTGTGAATATGTGCAAGTCAGAGTGAACATGCACTTGTGGCCATGACGGTGATATCACTGGCCACAATTAATACAAAGAAACTTAAAAATATGTGTACAGTTACACTTTACCACGTGACACACCTACAAGTTAAATGGACTAAATCACATAAAATGTTAAATGGAATAAATCACATAACATGTTGAATGGAATAAATCACATATCATGTTAAATGGAATAAATCACATAACATGATAAATGGAATAAATCACATATCATGTTAAATGGAATAAATCACCTAACATGTTAAATGGAATAAATCACCTAACATGTTAAATGGAATAAATCACCTAACATGTTAAATGGAATAAATAGCATGCAATCAAACATAGTAATAGTAACTTGGTAAAATACACATGCAACTTAAATTTCCGCATGCATCAGAGATAATAATTTATCCAACAGAAAAAAAATAAAAATCATATTTCAATAATATACATATTTTGAAATTTATCTCTACTAAAAAATGTATACATACATAAATGTATTGAATAGTAAGTAGTAAAGAGAAAAGGAGAGCATTTGCATTGTATTCCTTATTTTCTGCACATTTAAAATCATTAAAAATCCACATATATAACATTTTTTTAAAATTCTACGCATATAAACATATTAAAAAAATTGTATGCACATTTACTTTTTTTTTAAAATTCTACACATATAAATATATATAACATAAAATTAAATTTGATTTTGCAAAAAAAACCATCATCACCCTTTCTGATATGAATGAAGGGCCTAATACCGTTATCTTAAACAAATAATAGAAATCTATATGGAAAATACTTAAAACAATTTTCATTTCTTTAGTATTTCTTTGAATAAAAACATTCCCCTATTTTTTTTATGCAAAACAAACCAGTGTTAAGTTAAATTCACAACCAGGTGTGTTAACAGAAAGCAAAAAATGTGAAGTGATTCCTGTGAATCAAAATGTCAACAATAGCTTTGTAGTGGACAACAAAATGCAAGTTGACAACACAAAGCAAGTGGACAACACAAGGCAAGTGTCCACGCATATCGCTAATCCACTGTTGGAAATTGATGAAAAGTTGGAATTTATTTTAAATATGAGTTTTGGAATGTTTGTTTTGTATGCTTTGATTTTATTTGATATTTAATAATAGTTTTATAATTATACTTATAGGGTAGGATTTTATGACCATACCTGGTCTAACATCAAAAATAGGAAAACAAAGGTCATGAGGAAAAAATTACAAGTGGAGAACACAATCACTGAACAACAGCCCCTCAGAGAGTGCAAGTGCCTTGGAAGTGAGGTCACAAGACGTGGCAATTGTGACAGTGACAATGTCTTGATTATGCTATACTCTATGCTAGAAGACCATTATCACAATAAAATGGAAGTTAGAATGCCTATGAAGCTCCCATAGAATATTCTGACCAAAGATGATGCAATGAATAAATGCCAATCAAGATTTACAACCGCTGTAGTCACGAACATATGAATTAAAAGCAGATAATTACCGGAGACACCTTGGATATATCCTTAGAATACCACCAACCTTACCTCCCAGAACAGTCTTAAGATGGACAGAAAATGGAGAAAAAAAAATATGGCAAACCCAAAAAGAGCTGGTCCAATATAAAAGAGAGGTATCTGGGGAAAGAAACCTGATCCTGTATAAGCTTCCTAAGAGGTAGTCGATCAACAACAGTTGCATCCCTTGACCAGTAAAAGATTGTCATTCAAGTCATTAAAAGCCATCTTATTTAGCAGAGGGGATAGATTGTACAAAACTGTATGCTTGCTCTGAAGTCTTGTGATATGCAAAAATTAGGATTACAATTTTTATACACTCCTATTTCATGCATTAATAATTAGTGCTGCAGTTTTCAACATTTTTATCGCAGTGACCTCTTGATAGCATTTGGAAGCAGCCCACATTAATTAAGATGTTACATTAAAAAATTGTACATCTAAGGTAAAGACTTTTTTTAAAATACTCAAATTTCCCTAGGGTGTCCCGGCGCACAGGTTGGGAACCACTGAATTTGGTTTCAATGAGCTGCTGATCTTGACTCCAAGATGCACTTAGTCCCTCAGACTCCAATGAGTCCCTCCAATGATCATGTTCTTGGTCTTTCTGATTTAGACATTCTGCAGGTTTAAAAAATTTAAATTAAAATTTTAGATCAGCGTATGCAATACAGTAACAGGTTTTTAATCTGTTTATAACTTAATTTTGATTATTTATTTTACTATTATGGAATTCAATAAGCAGCACAGCATTAAGTTGTAGGGTAAGCAGTTTTAAATTGACGCCTACATGTCATTTTTTGGATAGAGCATTAATGTTTAACTTTTCATATCTTATTATTACAATTTAAATTTGTTTTGGTTTATTAAGTGTAAATTATTTATTTTAAGTAAAGATTTATTTCACTTGAAACCTTGAAAGTTAGTCAAAATATTTAAAAAATGGAGCTAACTGAATCTGGTGAGTTATCTCTTGATAACAATGGCTGGTGCTGGTTGATCTGTTGTTGTACCTAACAAATGGTTGGTGCTTGCTGATCCATCCTTGGACCTATAGGTGGTTGGTGCTGGGTCGTCCGAATTGGGTAGGTTAAAGTTTATTCTTTAATTGTTGAATCTAGAATACAGTTTAAAAGCAATTATAATTTCAGGATATTAATAAAGGTTTAAAAAAAACATAAAATGTATATAACATTTTTTAATTTAAAATTCTTTTCATTCTTGTCCTTGATCAAGATTAGAGTCTACTTCAGACAAGAACCCACTTAAAATCAGAAATGTAAGCAGTCTTTACATATGTTGATTGCAATAAATAATTCATTATCATTAACCATTTCCTAAATTTTATAAACACAAAACTTAAAGTAAAGGGTTTAAATTTTCTATCTGTTAAAGGAAAAATTGAAATTAAAATTGAATATTTAATGAAAAATAATATATTGATATTATAAGCAACAAAAAAGATAATATATTTTATTAAATGTATTAAACCAACAATTAGAGCTACATATGAGGTACAGAAACAACCATTTTTAATATAGCTACCTCGTGAGCCTACTGGGCCTGGACCACCTGATTGGATATCTCATCAAGACATTTCTCGTACCGCTGTCGCTGTTCATTCTCTAACACAAGGGAGCCACTCTCCACCTTCTCCATTTTTAGTCTCTCCAGTGAGATTTTAGTCTTGCCTCTAGCCTGCAAGATAAACCAACAGCGATGAGGGCTGTAGACTGACATCATTAAATATTAAGTGAAATCTTGATAAAAGTGATAAAGTCATAAACAGTTTTGTGAGAGATATCAACAGTCTCTCACATAACAAACTCGTTGAAATAAAACTGGCTATTTTAAGATCTATGCTGATGATGGGTTATAGAGGTTTGTATAAAAATATTGTTTTTAAAGAAGGTAAATAGAATTGATGGGTGCAACAAAAGGAGTGAGGTAGAAAGAAAGAAAAAAAAAGAGGAGCAATCAATTTGAGCTATAGTCATCAAAAGGTAGAATTTGATAGATATTTTCTTTTTGATGACATGGGATGACATGAAATAACAAGCTTAATGTGACAGCTGAAATAATATACATTAAAACAACAAATAGTTTCCTTTAAACTTCCTTGGACAAAGAAAAAATTCAGTTAAAATGTATCATGAGTCATGATGAGTTAAAAAACAAAAAATGAGAAATACAACTTCCACGAGTTAGGACCCACGAGAAGCAGCCATTTTTTATCAAATTAACTTTAAATGCGCCATTGTGATTTTTTTTTTATAAAACTGTACTTACACTTAAAGTTTTTAATTAGTCTAACTGTATGTTCCGTAACAGTAGTATTTTTATTAGTCCAATTGTATGTACAGTTTTTTGGTTATTAGTCTAAGTTCAAAACTTTCTATAATATATTTTAAGTACCGGTACAGTTTTTTTATTAGTCTAAGTTCAATAAAACTCTGTAGTATTTTCAATACAATTTCAATAATTTTAGTTTATGCCGCTACATGGGATCTGTTACCAAAAGAAATGGTTTTGTTTGTGCTCAAGGTAACTCCACCCCTGTGATCATGACTTTGAACATTATCATGTGTTTGCACACTAATTTTTGTTTATGATGCATGGTAAGATTAAGGTGTCGGAGTCTATGGGTAAAGTCAACATAGGGACACATAGCTGTTATATATTGTTCATAGAAAGTCATTGGAGCACACCCGGGGCTTTGGCCCCTTGGGCTACAAGGATGGAACATGGTGTACGATGAAAATAATAAAGAAGACTAAATAAAATGTGAAACCAAATACCTTTTCAATGTTTGCAATTAATGTTTTTAAAATTTTAATTTAAAAAAGATAGAATTGACAAATGGCTCCTTCAGCCATTCTGCCCTGATCCCTATGTAACTTGGTGCCACTACTCATTCAACCAACCTTGGAAGCAGTACCGGTAATGGTATATATATTAAATAATTTTTTGTGTTGTAAGCGCCAGTACTTTGCATAGGCATCTTTTCAAAAAAATTCATTTACTAATGAAGAAGTTTAAGCAAATTAATTGGTTAAGTTAGTTTTATAACAGCTTAAATAATTATTATTATAGAACAACATTACTATTTTGTAAAAAATAAAAATGAATTCATAGGTTTCTCTGTTGGTCATTGATTAATTTTAAGTGCAGATTGATGCAAAACTAAATTCAGGTGTGCAACAACATGAATCCTTTTATTTTGAATTCATCAAACTTTTTTGGGGGAGAGGTTCAATGCCCTTCCCAGCCCCTGTCCCCACTTTGGCTTAGGAGCCTTCAACGCCTTGATTTCCTTCTCCTCCCTCCACAGTTTACTTGGAGTTGTTGAGAGTAATCATGTAATAAATGAATTGTTGTAATGTGAGAGGATGGGTATCAAACCAAGTGTTCAAAATTAAATTTAAAGATAGGTCTTTGCGTATATTACAATTATAGGCCTAGACACTTCTGTGTCTTTCCCATGTTTTTATATGATCATTTGTAAATCCGGTACCCTTAAATTTGGGACACTAAAATATGATTCTACACATTTTTTTAAACTAGTCTAGTAATAGGAAAAAAGCTTTGATTTTCATTATAACATTTTTTTTCCAATTATTCATTAAAGAATTTGAAATAAAATAATGAGTTAGTGATTACTTGCTGTCATCTGGATGTTTGAGTGGTAAAAAAAGAAAATAACAACACCAGTTCCTAAACTGAAGAAATGGCTATTACTAAAGAATATTACTATTACTACTATGATTAGTTAACTAATGTGATCATAAATACAAAAGGTCTGGAAGTTAATTTTTTTTAGTTCTAGTAGTATAATTTCTTAAATGTTTATTGTTTGCTTTAGAAGATAGTATTTCAATGATGGGTAAATAATAGCAATCAGTTTGATCTATATTGATGAACACAGGTTGGAGTCCTGGAACCTCTGCTGTGTTTTAGTAAACTAGGGGAGGGGAGTTTTTTAGCTATTACCCCAAACTATTTTTCTAGACGGCAATATTACCATGTTTTTAATGGAAGAAAATCATAGACTATTATAATTGAAAAGATTAGCCCTAATACAGAGTATATAGGACTAATTATAACAAATTAAATATACAAATTTTAAATTTTAAAGCAAAAAAATAAAGGAATAAAATTCCTAATTATGGAGAAAAAAAATTACTTTGAAGACATAATCACTTCAGGATTGTAAGAAATGATGTTTAACTTTTTAACTATATCAATATCACTATACAAGTGTAACTTCAAAAATTGTACTATTTTTATGACAGCTATTTTGATAACGGTACTCAAAATTGATACTCATACTGTCTTCTGGGTTCAGTTGCTTTTTCCTATGTCTTTTTATGTTAATTTAATTGTAAAATTCTTGTTAGCAAAACTTTTTTTTACTTCCTTCTCATGTGAAATATTGAAAGCCCTGGGTGGGCAACCCTTTTGTCAACCAACACATGTGACCAATGGACCTTTTTAAGTGTGGTGAATTTGGTTTGGACCAATATAATTTTGTTTAAGGTAATTATTGTATGTATCATTAAAAATTATTATTTATCAAAGTTTATCAAAACTTCATTGTATTTAATAATATAATAAGCATCCAGTCTTACAAATGATATGGAATATATGTGCATATTTATAAAAATGTTAATGTTGATTAAAGTTAAAGCCTTGTATAATGACTGAGAGTAAAGCATTTAGTCTGCAGATACTGATGTGTAAGATTAATCTCCAACAAGTAGATCAGCCTAAATGTAGCAGATTAACATGAAATCACAAACAGCATGTCAAAGACATTGTGCTGTATAATAATTGAGTGACGAATCTGCGAAAATGTTAATTTTTTTAGTAGTTCTGGGTTTAGGTATCTTTGGTTTCAAAAGCCATTTTTTAATATAAAATTGAAATAAATTTAAAATAATTATTAAGATTTATTTATTTTTGATGCATCAACCTTGAACTTTTAATAAAGCACTCATTTGGATTGGTTGCATGTGTGGAGAATATACGTGTCATCAGTTATACTTTATGAAATTGGGTTAGACCGAGCATTGTGGGCTCTGTAAATATGCTCAGTTGGTGTCAACCTCTGGGATGGTGTCACCCGATCCGTCCGCACCCCCTAGCTACGCCACTGATTAGGCCCCCCTCGGATAGGGTTGCCAGACGTCTGGCAAAAGGAGGACATGTGATTGCTAACGAGGATCTTCTGCGAAAAGTTGGCTCCTCCGAGATTTATGTCATGTAATTAATAAAGATTATAAGGTAATGATTTTACAATTGTCTATTTAAATGATGTTTTTTGACATTTTGAAAAAGGCGTCCATTGAATTTGTTTTTTTAACGTGACTGTTTCTTGGTGGATTCACTAACTAAGAGTAAGATACACTAAATTGGCAGCTGTTACAATAAAATTGTGCTGACTGTGAGTTTAATCCGGGACGACTCAAATGAAATATTCAAAATGTCCTCCTTTGTCCTCGTTTTTGTTTTATTATGTCCTCCTTTTGGTGTCCATGTATCCGGCAACCCTTCATTAGCACCTTACCCTCGGGCATGAGGCCATCTAACTAGTCTAGCGTTAGAGGCGAGAGACCCTGGGGAAGTACGCTGTGTTCCCATGCCCTGCTTTCCTCCACTAATTTCAAGACTAAGTACGGAGCAGTGGCGTAGCTAGTGTTATTACCGCCCGGGACTAACAATACTAATTACTAACATCTTAGTCTAACATGACTGTAAACAAAAAACTTACTTTATTATTTTTTTCGATTTATATCTGGACGAAGTAAATCTTGTTGACGAGACTTATTCCCCTCTAATGATCTAATGTATCAAACTTGTAATTCGCATTACAATTACAATATTAATTTTCGAACGTGCCGATAATATCGTGGGTTAAAATATTGGGGAACGTCCACTGACTTTTAAATCAAATTAAATTGGCAAAATCTTTTAATATTCCTTAAAAATATTTTTAGCATGATGCCTCTAAACGAGTGAATCTCCTAGAAGTAGAAGCGAGAGGCCCCCTTGAAGCGTGAGGCGCTTATCAGTGCCCAGTGGGCCCAAGCGTCAAGACGGCTCCTAATGGTTCTATATCTGCACTTTTCCAGTCATAATTGAGATGCCATTAATTTTATAATTTTATAACATAACCTTACATCACTCTTAACGGCGCCGTCTTAAGCTCTTCGTCTCATAATCAACGTTTTACTTGTTCGTCTGATTACGAAGGAACAACTTTGAAACGTGCAGGATGTCGACTTTTCGGCCGAAGGATTCAGGGAGAGAAAACTTGAAATCTGAATCGCTTTGAATGTAACGAGAACTGTAAGTTACTTTTTAAAAAAAAATCTTTTATATTAACTTCGCTTTTGTTTTTGTGCCTGGCTGGGTGGCTGGCAAAATCTTCGGACGGATAACTGACCCACTTCCCGTCAACCGATCATGCTGAAACTTGGCACATAGACTCGTTGCCCACGACAACACGTTCTATTTTCAGCTCCACCCCACAACCCACAAAATTATTATTTTTTTCAAGGGGAAGCTGAAGGAAATATGATGACGTTGATTTCACGCAATAAAATTCCCAATAACTGCGCTAGATGAGATTCTTTTTTTTTTTTTTTATATCCTAAGTGCGTTTGGCGCGTAATATTGTATTTTTGTTTTCTCTGAAGTAGTTGGTGAAATAAATCTGCGGTGGATCAGTAGAATATTAATGTAGTTCAGGGAGCGTGAACAAAAATGTGCGGGTTGTGAGCCTTGTGGGGGCGTACTAATTGGGATTCTAATAAAGTACGTTACTTGTATGTATGGATGTTTTTTCAATTTTGTAACCCCCCCCCCAACCCCCCCCCCACACACACACACACACTTTTCACAATATTACATTTTATAAAGGAATTAAACGAAAAACTTAGTTTTCAGGGGTTGTTGAATAAAAAAACAAAAAAACAATATAAGACAGTCTATAGTTTAAAGTGTATTTATTTTATCACATTGCTGGCATGCTTTGCACAACTGAAATTTAGCATTTGAAAATCAGAAAAACTTTTTAATTTAAAGTTCATCCATTTGATAATAAAACTTCTAAGTTCTGTATACACATAGAGCAGCATACGAGGACCACACATGTACCATATGAGAACCATATGCGGCATGTGGTGAAGCACAAAACTCTGCCCAGTCTTCACTGAAGAAATATTGGGCGGCATGGAATGCATTTACATAATATTTACAAAAATGGCATGCATTTTTCTGCTGACAGAAAAAACCAAATTAATATAACACAAAGGCATTTGGTCAGTTATACAATTAATGGTCTGATTGCTTTGTCATACACCATCATTGTGTAGCACCGCTGGTGGACAGGTAGACTACATCAGACTGACTATAGTGAACCATGTAAGGGGCGTCTACATGGGGGGGGGGGGAAGCAGTTACTACTTCTAATCTAAGTGGGGGGGGGGGGATAAAAAAAATCTTTCTGCATGAATTTTGAATTTTTCTACAGTTACTAATAATGTAATGAACAATGTCAGGACAGCTACTAACAATGTAATGAACAATGTCAGGACAGTTACTAAAATGTAATGAGCAATGTCAGGACAGTTACCAACTATGCAATGAACAATGTCTGGACAGTTACCAACTATGCAATGAACAATGTCTGGACAGTTACCAACTATGCAATGAGCAATGTCAGGACAGTTACCAACTATGCAATGAACAATGTCAGGACAGTTACCAACTATGCAATGAACAATGTCTGGACAGTTACCAACTATGCAATGTACAATGTCTGGACAGTTACTAGCAGGGAAATGAATAATGTGAATAAAAATCAAAAGTGATTTGTGAGACGTTTACACAATGAGTTAATGGATAAACAGAAGTGTTGCAGTCATCGAAAAATGTATTGTAATAAAATCCAGTGAAATCTGGCAAGCTGGTATCTACTCAAGGGGTCATAGTTCAATCTCCTCTCCCAGTGAGCTCTCTAGAATCATAACATGCAAAAGGTCACATTTTTGGGATGAGACTCTCCAATATTGTAGTTAAATTTCATGTGATGTGACTGGCGAAAGTTATGGAGACTTATTAAAATTAAACTCAATGCACTGTGAATAAGTGAATAGTGTCATACTAAGAGTTGCATTCCAAATTTTGCTGCAATGGATATGCTACTGTCCCTATTTAACTTACTACATGGAGATGGTAAAAAAATATGGACATCATTTATTACTTGTGTAAGTGATGTCATCTTGTTAGGCAACAAAGAATGTAATATCAACAGGTAATGAGTAATGACCAAAGAGCTTTGAGTATTAAGTATATTAAAGTAGTGACAGTGTGAAATGGTAATAACATCACATTAATTTATTTTAGCACTTCAAAATTTTGGCAAGGACAGGGGAACTAACCTCAAACAAGGACAGGGGAACTAATCACAAAGAAAGACAGAGGAACTAATCACAAACTAAGGACAGTGGTAGAAAATTGAGTTCAGACAGACGGTAGAAAGATGAGTTCAGACAGTTTGTGAAGTAGAAAGTTTAGTACAGACAGTTTTGTAACAGATGGTAGAATGTTTAGTATTTACTTCAGAATGAATTGCATCTGGTCGAGGTCAAAGGGGGGAGGGAGGGCTATGGAAAGCAATACTTCCCCCCATAAAGCAACAATTATCAAAATTTAATGACACCAGAATATATTTACAATAAAAGTTCAAAGCCTTAAACTACTGTAATAATATTTGACATGCCATCTTCCCAACATTAAAGAAAATTTTCACAGAAAACTTTCAAAGAACGAAAAGCATTGAGTATCTTTGAAACGTATCACAAAGAAAACTTAATCACCTCTATTAACACATGATTAAGGTTTCTCAAAATGACTCAAAAAAGTCCTTTTCAGAAAATTCTTGACTAAGTAATCACACTTTGTATCTGTCAAGTCTATCCATTTGTCCACAGGATTGTCAAATCCATGTTATGTAGGTTCTCTTATGAATCAAAACTGGAGACGGCTGTTCATTTTTGGACCTGACTGTCCGCGACTTGTTGGACCAAATATCGTCTCTTTCCAAGAACTCCAAGAGGCGACCAGAAGACGGCGTCATCGCTATGCCGCTGTCATTTAATGACTTGTCATGCGATCTCCGGTTGCTGTACGGCACACTGTTTTGGCTGGAAGCATCGTCACTCAAGAAACTAGAGGTACGCGAATGTAGAGGGGACAGGGTGCTGCTTAATGTCTCACTGCTGTAGCCAGAGCGATCCAGGTGTCTATGTAAGTTTGGAAGATGTCGTAGGTCTGTGTATTCTATGCAAGTGTCAGCACTGCCGGACAGTGAAATGTCATCATAACTTCCCGTTGTGGCGGTCCTAACACCTTCAGCCGTGTGCTGTGATGCTGGCCTGATGTGGCGTGTGACCTCGCACTGGACACTGACTCTGCTACTGGCTCTGTTCGACTCGCCACCTTCTTGTACAACATTGTCGTAATTTGGCGGTGAGTATTCTTTAAATGGGTTGTCCTCACTGTATGGTGGAAGGGTGGCACCATAGGGTGGATTGTACTCATCAAAGTCTGGAAGGTGTGCCGTCCTAGCGATTTGACGCCTCCACTGTTTGAATATAATTCAATTTTTAGTCAAACGGTCTGATAAAAAAATTAATACTTAATTGATCAATAAATTTGAGCACAGCAAAAATAAAAATTAACTTTAACAATATGAGTTAAAATTAATGTTCACCAGCGGTACACATTTTTGTGAAGCCAGGGGCACAAATTAACGTCAAGTAAAGTAAAAATTAAATTAAGTTTTAAATAAAAGAAAATCTATTGTTAACAAAGGTGAAATCATTTAAATGTTTTCGTCCCACTGAAGAGTTACTTTAACATGGAGATCCCTTCAGATGTCACAACATAAATAAAACAACCTTTTCTTTCATTTAAGTATTTTTACACCTTTTCTTTTAATTTACAGATACATTCTTCTTTTTACAAAATACAGCTCCAAGCTTAATTAGAGATACAATTTTAGCCTCATATTATTTCTAATGCCACTTGCTCCCCATCAACTAAACACACTGACAAAACCCATAATGCATCTTACAAACAAAAATGCCCAAAGGTTAATTAGATACTTATGATTTCTTGATACATTACGAATGCATAAGACCAATCCAGTTCAAATGAACTTAACAGAGAAAATAATATATATATAAATAGAGAGAGAGAGAGAGAGAAACTTACTGGTTTAAACAAAAACTCATATGTACCACGTCCTTCTGTTAACTCTTGATACTGTGAGACCACACAAGCAAAGCAGTAGCACTGTAGAGGAAAAACGTTAATCGAGATCAATACACTGACCAAGTTTCCATGGTAACGTTTAAACAACACTGGTAGAGCCATTTTCATTCCCTAACACTATTTTTTTTTAAAATGTAAATTAAATTATTGAAATTGGAGAATGTAATAAACACCTGGCTCTCTCAGTTGTCATGGCAACCAATCAATAGTCTGTATACATAACCAATAGAAGTAGCCTCATTAGGAAACTACTGAGTGACTAAGTTATAGGACAAAAAACACAGTTAACAAATCAAATTACTTACATTTGCTATAAGCCGAATGCAGTAAAACACTACTGCAACTATTTCCCAGGCATCAAGAGTCTGAAGAGGCAAAAAAATGGAAAACATTATTTATTTGATGATAACTTATTTTAAATTATTTTTCAAACCTGGAAAATGGGTGCAGTGGCCAAGGCCAACATTAAAGGGGTGGGGGGGAAACACTTTGGGAAATTAAATTTTGTGGAGCCTTTGACATTATATACCCCGAATGGGTCTTACTGGTCATAATAATGGGACACATCATACCACATATTTTTTCACTTGATTAGTTTACGAAATTTCTAAAAAAAACATTGCCCTGAGCTCAAAGATTCAACAAGGTCGTTGAAAATCTTAATTTTCAGATGGTAAATGGGCAGCTAATTAAACAGAAAAAAAAATTGAGAGTTCTTAATTGTGAAGGGTGGAAACAATGTCTTGATCAATTGACAATGTTGATGATAATCCATTCAAAAGAACCTGAGACATTGGTGATCTCAAGTAAATTTTTAGTAACTTCAATGTTGAAAAATTTCATTTTGCACTTTCTGCGGTTACTGGGACTCTTGTTACAACTGCAGTATTTGGTGAATAATCTGGCAGCGGCAAAAGCAACTGAAGACATTGTAAAGATATTTACAGATCTACAGTACTTCTAGTAAGTGCGAACCATTCATAGTCTGTGAATTCCTACATCTCAAATCCATGTCCCAATAAACACAATGTTGGTTTAAATTATCCAGAATCATGATATGAATTTGCTGAATATTTATTTATTTATTTATTTAGGCATTTTTATATAGCGCTTATCATAAAGCTCTAAGCGCTTTACAATTATTAAAACATGTAAACTAAGTAAATAAAAATGAGACACTAGGATAGTAACTACTATACTATAGAAACAATGAAAATGGCTATAAAACGAGGACACTTTGACACTTCAGGATCAACCCTAAACAGAAAATGAGGTAGGGCAAGGAGGGTGCATCACAGGTCATAGGCAAAATATGAGGGATGGTGTGGGGAAAAGAACACTGTGATCATTTTATTATCTTGTACACTGTCTTGACTGGGAATTACGAACGACACATAGACACATTAATAATACATAATAAGCATGGTACCCCATAAGCGTGATGCCTTGGGAGGTGCCACTCTCCCCCCACCCCCAAGTGCTGGCCCTGCTGTGGCATGTTTAGGATAAATGGCCAAATTTGTCTAATGTTGGGACTGAGAAGCAGAAATAGTTATCTTGACAAGTTTTGCATCCTTTTAAATATTAACAATTGTGAAACACTTTTTCCCACCCAGATCCACCCATTTACTAATAGTATGGACTTGATGTAACCACAACCAGGAGGAGACAACTTACATGCTCCTGTTCCAAATGCACTGTTGTAATGAGAGCTATCGCCCCTGTCTCGTATAACACTGTGATCACCAGCACGTAGATCCATGGTAACAGCAGAAACTTCCGGTCCTAAGATGGTGGTAGAGGGGAGAGAACAAAATTGGAGTCAGATGAATAAATGTACTAATAAATGAATAAACAGGAATGATGGAAACCCTTTTGTAACAATGGCCTGGACTTTGCTTGTTTTACAGTAGGTTTTGTGGATTGGGGTCTGCATTTTCAATGGTCTAAATTGGTGGGTGTTACCCTGGGGGGTCTGCATTTTCAATGGTCTAAATTGGTGGGTGTTACCCTGGGGGGTCTGCATTTTCAATGGTCTAAATTGGTGGGTGTTAACTGGGGGTCTGCATTTTCAATGGTCTAAATTGGTGGGTGTTACCCTGGGGGGTCTGCATTTTCAATGGTCTAAATTGGTGGGTGTTACCCTGGCCAGAAGACAAGCTTTAACTGGAATTTTCTAGCAAACATTTATTAATAAATAGCACACTTCATTACAATATATGTTTTACGTTTTCATTGCCACTCGACCTCTCTGTCCCACCCTCCCTCCCTCCTTTCACTCTCTTGCCTTCACTCCCTTTCACCCCTCTCCCTCCCTGCCTCACTAACAGCTTCCCTTCACCCTCTCTCTTCCCTTCACCCACTTCCCTCCACCCTCTTCCCTCCCTTCTCATGCCTCCCTCCACCTCTCTCCCTCACTCCACCCTCCCTCTACCCATCCTCCCTCTACCCACCCTCCCTCTTCCCACCCTCCCTATTCCCACCCTCCACCCCCACCCAACCTCCTCCCCCTTTACCCCTCCCCACCCCCCACCCTCCCACTTACAATAACACACATAAAATCCTTCTTCATGTTTAGCACTCCACAAGTAAGTGTCTTAACTTACCATGTAAACCCCCGGTAGGAGGATCAAAGAGACGCCAATGAGGAATGAATACAGGACGAATCCAGCGTAAACAATTCCCTTGAGTTCTGTGAAACATAACAACAAAAAAACAAGTCATATGGGAGTCAGGAAGATACATCAAGACCAGGATTTGAGTCATGACAAGATGACTGAAATCGAGTCATGTCTAGATGACAACTTTCAGGTTTAAATCAGGATGAAATGAAGTGACATCTAAAAATCTGGATGACAAGATTTGAGATATTTACACATCCTATCTATCTGACACGAAACTAGTCATATCTAGATGACATGACGACATGACGTGAGTCATACATAGGTCACAAGATTTTAGTTATTTTATATTCGTTATGCGTAGATGACAAGATCTGTGTCATATCTACATAACAAGTGAGTCATATCTCGATGACAAGATCTGTGTCATATCAAGATGACAAAAAGTGAGTCATTTCTAGATGACAAGATCTAAATCTTATCTAGATGATAACAAGTGAGCCATATCTAGATAGATCACAAGATATGTGTCATATCTAGAATACAAAAAGTGAGTCATATCAAGATAAGATTTGATTCATATCTAGAGTGGGGGGGGGGGGGGGGGGGGGGGGGCGACAAACGTTACTGCGGCAACATACACACTGTAGCTGCTCTTCATCATTACTGACGTATGCAGCAGACGATCAGTCCCATGTGATAGATGCACGTGGACTCTGGGCGTGGATAGAGCAGCAGACAGTCCACAATTTAGAAAAATAAAAATCAAACAAACCAAAAATCGATGCTGCTTACTTCTACTAATCGCCATGTTTGATATTGTTGACGCCATGATTGAGACTGTTCACGTCTGCAGTGGATGGTCATGTGACTGATGACATAACATCACCATTGTGTAGTGACATAGTATGAGACTGATCAGGTCATTGGAATAATCTTGTATTGATTAAATGTAAAATTGTATATTATGTATATTATTCCACACCCAGTGATTGGCGGTGGAATGGACTGGCGGTCTGCCCCATGCGGCATTTTTTTCGTTACATGGATGGGTGGTATTTTTCAACCAATGGCAAGGGGTTGGTGGCGGGGTGGGGTTCGTGAAGACGGGGTTGACAAAATCTTGTCCTACCCCAACTTGGACTAACCCTAGCTACGCCACTGTTAACAGCCACTCTTACCGCCACTAGCTTGCCAAGTTCCTTTTGTTTTTCTCAATCTCTTTTACTCCTTGCCTATGTCGTCTGCTGATGGATGCTCCCTGTTTTTTTTTTTAAGCTTTCACAAAACCTGTTTTACTATTTCCTATACTTGGCTTAAACACACCCCCTTGTCAAACTTAATCATTTATCGCAGTGTGGTCGGTCACCTAAATATCGGGCATGAACAATATAAACAATGGTTAAAATATTTCTCAATTTTTACTTTGGGGGGGGGGGGCCCGTCGAAACGTTACACGCCATATTTGACAGCTGTTGAACAGCCGCCAAACGAATTAACTCCACGCGCGTCAGTGACTAAACCCCAACAGCTCCTAATCCCAGATCAGCTGTGTGGATTAATACAGCCCCCTACCAACTTACCTATTGAGTCTCTCATCTCGTCCAAAGCTATGTACCGCAACATGTAGAAGGCTAGACAGATGACCGAGATGACCTGTGGACCAAACAAAAAAACAGATAGGTATTAATTAGACTGGTACTTTGAGTGCACAGACTGTGTACACTGTGTTTAAAAAAATGAACTTAAATGTCACGCTCAAATTTCACATGTAGATGTCATATAAATGTCACACTTATATGTCAATCTTCAATGTCACACTTGGATGTCACATTGAATTGTGACACTTAGATGCCACTCTTAAATGTCACACTTAGTTGACACACATAGTTGTCACACTTAGGTGTCCCACTTAGATGCCCCTCTTAGATGTCACACTTTATATCACACTTAAATGTCACACTAAGATGCCACCCTTAAATGTCACAATTTATCATAAATCCGTGGTAACTGTACACATGTATTATTAAATCAACAGTCGATCATCAAAACCACAAGACAAAACCCTTTTTTTTTTATTTAAGTTTTTATTGTTCTCGTCTTTCATAAAACACCAATGCTCTTGAAATTTTACACATTTTTTTTTTAAAAATCAAATAAATTGTAGCCATGTCAGACCATAATCCTAATACTAACATGGTCGGCTTACAAGCTCCCCACGATCAAAGTGGCTCACGTGACATGTACAGAAATAGCCCAGAGCGTGTTTGTCCGGTCGTTGGAGAGTTGGGATAAAATCATACAAAACAACATCTTTTTTTTGTTTTTGTTTTTTAATTTATAAATAATCCGTGTCACTTGAGTCGAAATAATAGTCATTTCTTTGAATGTGCGTGGTTATTTTAAACCTTCATTTTTTTCAGTTGGATGGGATTCGGTGCGTTGTGTGTTTTCTGCCCCTCCTGTTTGATATGGATGCTGGCAGCTTTCATCCACTCAATATAACTCATAAAGTATTTGAGTGTTGTTTCAATTTCAGCCAACGACTTTCAAACAAAGCTGAAACGAACTTTCCGGAGGGGAAAAAATCTGGCATCCTTAAAAACAACAAGTCGTTACTAGGCCAAGAAAAAGAAAAAAAAAGTACCGGATTGGACTTTTTGTTTTATTTTTAAACATTCTCATAACCTTAAAGAGAAATATTATATTTGCAAAATGATTTCTTAAAAATAAACATCAGACATGAGTTAAGCCATCAGCAAAGTTCTCTCACGGTCTGATCGAAGCTGACTCGGTGGAAGCCAGATTATAAAGGCATATTTTTAAAATCTAAATTGGGACTGGAAAATCATATCACCCCAAGAGACAACGTTCTAAGTTCTAAAAACAACACACCGAAAATATCACGCCGCGTTCTACATTTGAAAAACCTCTGATCTGCTTTTTTTTTATTATTATTATTTTTAATAGTGACAGAGCTAAATTTTATGGATTAAAATTCCAAAGTTTTTTTTTTTTTTTTTGTTTTTTTTTTTTCTTTATTTTAAAAATATTTTTTAAGCTAACCAACTATCCATAAAAACTTGCAGAGGCAAAGAATAACGGAAGTACATTTTCAGCACGCATTGATCGTCCTATAGTGGTCCTAAAACCGATAGGTTAAAAGAATAATGGGATGTTTCATCGATTTTCAGTGGTGTACATGACTGCGATGTAATGCTCGACTCGGCGACAAAGTGGGGGCCCCCTGTGGTACACCCACACACAACCGGAAACATGTGCGCGACAAAGTATCCACCGAATGGCCGTCATCGACCGCCTTAATCCTCGGCTGGAGAATGTCTGTGGCTAACTCACGCTGAGGTGCACATCTGTTCACATACAGGGGTCCACGGTAATACCTTACCTCGCTAACACTGTTAGAGGCTTAGCAAAAGACTGATCGGGTTGGGGGGGGTCCCCCCCCCCCCCCCCCCCCCCCCCCCCCACACACCCCCCCCCCCCCCCCCCCCCCCCCCCCCACCCGGTTAGGGGGTTAGCAAAAGAGTGGGAGGGGTGGGGGGGGGGGGAGGGGGTGGGGGGTGATTGGAGTGGGGGAGGGGGTGATTGGAGTGGGGGAGGGGTGATTGGAGTGGGGGTGGTGGTGGTGAAGTGGGGATGTTAACGCAGCATGGTATTCAATAAAAAATTCCTTGACCCCCCTGGGGCTGACCCGGATGCTGACCGGGGGACACCCAGAAATGCCGAGAATTACGGAACCAGAAAATATCCGGCGGCGTTCAATGAAACGGAACCGGATCCGGGTAGACCTAAAGTGAGGGGATCCGGAACGGAATGATTGGCCAAGATGGCGTCGCATTGGTGATGATATATAGGTGTATTAACGTACATGCAGACATTGGTATAAGGACAATGAAAACCGCTAACAACCAGCGATCAGCAACACGCATGCATCTATCGCAGCTGCGCTCCCTCTTTGTTATGTTTATGAGCTAGCGTTATTCTACATGGATGCATACGTTATGGCCACTGGTTCAATACCTTACGTTTTGGGTTTTTTTTTAACTTTTTTTTTTCCCTTTGGGTGGAACAAATCTCTCGTATTCTATAGTTAATTCCTGAAATGTTACATACCACAGATCTGTTTACCCTCAAACTCTTAAAATCGTAGAATATCATCACAAAATCGTTCAATACGTTATATTTATAGTAAAAAATTAACAGTATATACAATCTATACGCCTAAAATCGTACATTGTACGCCAAAATCGTAAGAGTAAACAGGTCTGCATACCAGGACTCGGGTCCACCGGGTACGGTCCGAAAATACCCGGACAAAAAACTGCAACCGGGCTCAGCCTCAATGCCAATCATTGAAGTTATCAATATTTTTTTTATACCACATCAGCTGTACCAACAATTTTATATAACTTTTTAGCTGCATTGCTACCAACAATTGTATCTAACTCTTTAGCTGTAGGCCTACCAACAATTGTAGCTACTTCTTTAGCCGTAGTCCTTCCAACACTTGTATCTACCTCTTTAGCTGTAGGCCTACCAGCATTTTCATCAGCCTCTTTAGCTGTAGGCCTACTAACAAATGTATCAACTTCATGAACCGAACCTTCAGTTTTAAACACCTTATCGGGTGAAGAGTCTGGTGAACCAATATTGGTTTTCTAATATTGAATATTGACCCTTGAAGTCAAATCATTAAACGACCATGACCTTCAGTTGAGTCTCCATCCGGAGTAAATATTTTTCTTACTTAGAGCTACTGGCGACCCTTAGCGTCTCAGCCTACCCCTTGGGGCAATGCTCAATTTAGAATTCAGGGGATGTCATTGATCTCCCCATTACACCTATTATAAGAGAGGTTAAGTCCCCTGGCACTGGTGGCGCAGGTGTTTGCATGCCCACAGAATGGGCAATTCAACAAACTGGGCTGTCCACGGAATGGGAAATTCAACATATAGTTTTGTGCCGCCCATAATTGATAACTAAATAAGTGGAGAGTATTCAGCACTGAAACTATTCTATTATTATTGGGTTGACTGCCTCATCAATATGACCATAGTAAGGCATGAAAATGGAATACGGTACCACTTTGCAACGGCAGTCTGTGTTTACAATACGGTTTGTCTCTGGTTGTACAGTCCTGGCCGTGGTATACCGTGCTGAATTCGGTGGTATACAGCACGATATTGCATATGGTATATACCATTGCCGTATGCAACAGTACCGGATGTCTGTGGTGTGCAGTAGGTACATGTCTGCGGTAGATAGAAACGCTTGTCCCTAGATTACAGTAGAGAGTGTCTGTGGTATGCAGTGCATTTCTTTGTTAGCTTATTAAACTTATGGCAGGACAAATCCATTTCGTCTGAGGGAGTGACATAAATTGAATCCACCAAGCTGTTCTTTGTACATTTTGTTACCAGGCTCCGGAATAAGTTCACGTGAGATCCATGCGTGCACTAGGTCCAATCGCTTTCAGGAAATGCTTTTTTTATTTGATGGTGTTCGAACAGAACAGTTTTATTAATGTTATTTTTTTTTATTATTTTTTTTTTTTTTTTGCAAACACCATCATGGTTGAGAATCGCATCCGACACAAAAATTGGACTAGAAATTTACACCCGTGACCTAAAAAAATACCCACCCTCCTTTTTTTTTTTAGCTAGTCCATTGTGCTTTGCTTGTGTGAGAG